ATGATTCATCGAAATTTTTTCTAATTGTGTTACATTGAATCGTTTGTGGAATATAGTTGAATTTAATTTTGTATATTCATCGTGAGATTGAACATTTTACTTTAACTTTATTACTTCTAATCTACCTTAATGGTATTCTTGAATGATCTTAACATAAAAGTCGTCGTCTAACTAATAAAACATATAGCAATCAAAAATTCTGTATCAGAACAAGATTAAATAGGAATAATACTATAATTAATTCTTTAGTTGTAAAAAAAATAGAATTAGCGATATTGTTATGTTGAAATCATATTTTTCTCTATTGCTTATACATTTAGAATATTTTGGATGATAAATATACACAACAGATGGTTGTACATCACATATCAAATAAACAATCGGTACCATTTACTGGTAGACCGATCATTCCCAATGTATCTTATCATCTCATAGAGGATGTGAAATGAAACGTTATTGAAAGTTGACTATATCACTGATTTATAGGATGTTTTATAGAAATAATATGATAAATTTCTAAAATCTGCTTTTGAAAAGATTGAAAAATTATTTTATCATTAATGTTTATCAGTTAATAAAATTCGAGTGTTATATTTCGTTTGATAAGTAACTTAAAATAAGTTCAGATCCTAATCATCTCTTATCATCAATTCATGGAACTTGTTCACAATCGATTACTCTCAAATTGTTGGTTGTGAAATAAAAATTTTGAAAATTTTTCAAAGCACAGTTAAACTGCCATGTAAATAGGAATATATACAGTTCCTTCGTATCAAAGTAGTCATGAGTTTATTGAACATAAGAATACAATGAGAAAAATTAGTAAAATGTGTTAGATGTGGACAACTGATAAAAATAATCAGTGATTTTTCTTTATAGATTGATTACATTATAATCACAGAAACAGTTGAATATGATATTATAGTAATACAATAAAATGATAAAATATTAAAACTTAACTTAATCGGTTGGTGATTGTGAACCGCAGCTCTGAATAGTTACGCCTTACGTATGGCTCAAATTTCAAGCGAAAAATTGGCATTTATCAGTTTATTTCTTCCTTAAATATTGTAGAAACTTCATATCGTTCACAAAGTCTAAATTTAATCGTTTATATGCGCAGATTTGTCGAAAATAAAGAGGAGTAATTACATATTTCATCTCCAAAAGTGGACATTTGTATCTGAACTCTAATTCTTCAACTGGGAAGTGTAACCATCAATAACTAATATAATACGTTTATTATTTGAAGTTATTTTTGAAATAGAAGGTTTACATGAATTTGACAGCAAAATTTTATTGATTTGCTTCATTTTTCATAGAATCACAATCAGATACACGAACTATAGTGAAAAGAATGGAGAATATATAACAAGATTCACATTATCTATTACCATCAGTTTCAGTTTTATAGGACTTTTAATCGATGGACTTTTCTTCTAGAGAACATTTTGCTTAGGAACATTTTTTAAGGATATTCGTAAAAGGATCTCCATCTGATAGCTACCGAGAAACTGCCGCTGGTATAGTGATCCATATAATTTGCGCTATACCAACGTTTGTTTCTTTAAAAGTATTATATCATAATGTATTTATCAAAATGGATGAATATTTTTGAAGTCTGTTAAAACTGACAGAATTAAATCGTTCTCGATGCACTCTGAAAATATTGATGTGTCTGAGTCGACTGTACTAACCACAGAGTACAAATTGGATCCGATTATGAGATTAATTTTTATCAGTAAAACATATTCTGAAACTATTTTCTTCTCGCAATAATTTGAATTCTTTCTAATAAATAATTCGAATTTAGGTACAAAACACTGTGTTCAATCGTTTATAAGTGTCGCCGAATGTTGTAAGCGCTACCACTGGTATACCAACGATTTACCAGTGGTAGTACGAATAAACGTGCAACATGGGCATTTATGGGTAAGGATAGATGCTTTATAGATAATTATATCACTTTCCGTTCTGGTAATAAAACTCGTCAATGCCATTTTCCTCTGTTCATCCACACTGTTTCGTTTTTTTTACTCGAAACATACTCTATTTTTTAAAAAGTAAAATCAAAAATGTGTTACTTTAGGCAAAATTATCTCACACATGTTTTATTGAAAACGAAATTTAGATTTTGGGTGGGTGTGGGATGTGGGGATCTCTTTGATCACACCCACACCCAGATATAAACGACTAGAATGTAATCATTCTTCCTGGAGATCTGTAAAAACCTGAGCATAAAAAAAGGAAAATGAATGGTTTTTGAAGGCATTACCATTAATCAATTAACAACGATCTAACAGACTGGCCACTTTTTGCCGATTTTCATCGGTGTAAAATTTGGACTGAACCAGCTCAAAAATTCTCGATCGATTATAACCCTAGGTCGGCTCTTATTTTTGTCTTTCGGAGCCATATAATCGAATTGCGAATAAGGCTAATTGCAATATAAGCATTCCAAAAAAGACAAGTGTAACAATCTGTAGATATTCAGAACGAAATTTTGTCCTTAATACTAATTTTATCACTTGAAAAAACATTGTGAACTCGCCGGCTTCCACCAGTCTGGAAATATTTTTAGACGAACTGGCATGGTCTAGTATTTCTTGATCGGTTACAACTCTGCTATATTCTAAAGCATTTTTTCAGGGATATTTATGAGCGATACCTCTACATCCACCCACCCACACCCAAATCCTCGACCAGGCAATAGATTCGATCGACCTGGTAACCAGCTGAGAAAGGAAGGAAGAATATCCATGACATTCAGCTACCTTGTGACATGCGGTGCTGTCTAGCCGAAGATTCAATAGCTCGATATCTTTCCTACAACTATGACTAGCTACAGCTCTGGACAGAATGCTGACTTGACGCAGAGTTCTTACGCTCAATTCTTGAGCATCTCATATACACTAACTCACTATGTATTAGTCACAAGAACAAGTATATGTCACAACGTAGTCAGTACACTATTGGACGGATGATTCGAGTCAAATAGTCGTTAGTGACTTGTCCAGAGTCATACCATAGTTGGTGGTAGTACTGATATTTTCATACAATGCCTTGTGAATACGTATCAAACAACGTAGTCATTTAGTCATGGCGGCAATCAACTGAGATAATAATCAATCGATTTGGTAACGAACTAATTAATTATAATGAAATGCTATATATAGAACTGATGACAGTTTATTCAGGCTTGTTTTCAACTATGAATTGCTTCAGCAATATTGACATAGGTGAAAAAGAAAATTATTCATATTGATATGCTAAATATATATTTGCTTGATAAGAATATGTGAAATGCTTTTAAAAACAACAACAACAACAGCAGATAGTGGTCTTCATTTTCCTACCTAACCATCGAAATTATAATGCAAGTTTCTTACAGAAGTAGTACATTGAGAAACTCAACATCCGACTGTTTGTTATAGATAAGTGCATGAAAGAGAAAAAATAATCACTTGTATTTGTTTTTCTCCATTTACAGTCAGACTGAAAGCAAAACAAAACTAAATTAACGTATAATTTCTTTGACAATGCTCTCTTCATGAGATTTATTTAAAATTTCAAACAAAAAAAAATAGAATGTAGAATTGTTAACCGTGATACAATATTACTGTATATTCTTATCTAATGCATATGATCAGAAGAAATTACAGTACATATTATATACATTTTCATCTTGAGATATATTATAATCCACTGAATTTCTTCTTTTGATTCTATTATTATTCTTTTGTACGATTATTTTTCTTGAGTAAATGAAATGTATTTTCACTAATATAGATATAGTAATAATTTATCGTTGAATTTTAGACTATATGCAATCGAACAAAAACAAATCTGTGCTTTCTTTCAATCTCATATTTCATTCATAGGATGAATCATATAGTATTTAAGAGCGAATCAGATTAATTTATATTAATCCCGTGACATATAATAGGTTTTTTATTTAAATTCATTCGATTTTCAATGATTTTTCTCTCGTCTATCAAACTCGCTTCAGCTGTGAATTCACATAGACAAACTATATTTTGTCCAAAAATAAAAACCAATCTTCCCAGTACCCTCGAGGGTCGATACCTTCTAACAAAAAAAAACAACGAACAACATATATATTTTTTTTCTTCCTCCTTATATTTGTCTTAACGATGTCTATATATATTTTTTATTACTTGGAAAAAACCAAGTAATTTTGTGTAAAAAACAACCAAAAAAAAGGTACTTCACATATGCAAACTTAAATCACATGGTGCAATGAAAAAATGCGCTTCGTAAGTAAATAAGCTTTAATGAATTTGGATCATTTGAAAGAAAAACAAGCGTCTTTTTATCATTTTTTTCAGGCATTTTGTATCAAAAGAAAAAATTTTTTTTTTCACCTACACATGGTCTGAATAGTTCTCTATTGAATCGTAACAAATTCTATCAAAGCAATGAACATTTTGAGTGATTGTGTATAAAATTATCGGAAGCCCTATCAAACTAATTCGAATTCGGATCACTTTCTCAACTTCTAACTCATTATCGACAACTTGTAATTAAATAAAAAAAACATCATTCGATAGCCCAAAGTCTCTCCTATGGGAACGTACAAAGCAGTCGTCAGATGGTCGAAGTACGGCAATGTAGTCGTTAAAATACTGAGAGCTAGTGAATTTTTTTGTAAAATGATCTGAGATAATTCGGATCATTTCAGTAAATTTTGCTGAAAATAACTTTGAAAATTCTTGCTTTACTCCATCTCTCTATGAAAAAAAATAAGCTAGTTTGACTAAAATACATTTTAAATTCTATGTTACACTTCTCTGTCCATAGTCACCGTCAACCTAGATCCAAAATTTATTGCAATTATCACGGTAACATGTTAAGTCATCTATTTGATGTTTAAAAAGTCATGTCAAGTTTCTATTGTCACAATAACTTGTCTACAATATATAATGATTGGTAGATGCACAGATTTTTTTTCTTATATTTTTCATTTATTTGTAATATAGGTAACATGTATATAGTCCAATACATATTACTCACTTTCCTTTTCCTTCTTATATATTTTACGCCTGTTCTGTGACACATTCCGAGAAAAAAAATGAATAATGAAGATTGTTTGTTTGTTCTGTATGTCGCACTCTCTGAGTTAATGGTGCCATGTACTTTTTTTTTCATGCATCAAAATGATTTTTCTGCTGTTTTTATCAGTTCAAGATGTCTATTTGGTTTATGAAACGTTAACCTAATTATTTATTTTCTTTGGACTATTTAGTGACAAAATCAGTGTTTCATGTAATATAAGAATCTGTATAGAGAAGTGCATCACTCGCGCTGCCAAAGAAAATTTGGAGCACGGCGACCGGATGGCTTCTCGTCTCTGCTTCTCTTCATATTTGTCCGTCGGATGACTGTGCCTATTTAATTACTCTATCTCATAGTTGTTTATTAAATTAATAAATAAAATCATAATCAATGTTGATTAACTGAAATTTAAATGTGCACACATTTAACTACAAAATGAGTTAAAACAGAAATGAACATAGGATAAAATATATATATGTCCAGTTACCTCTTGTGGAAACAAATATTCTTTCGTGTTACTTTCAACTTTATGTTGTTCTTCTTAGATGAGTGTTCAGAAATAAAGCATTATTCTTTAAGAGATATTATAGAGCAACTGTACCTCGTTTTTTAGGTGCGATGCACATTTCTGACTCTCTATGTCTTGTATGGTTTCTTTTCAATTGTTTTCAGCACTAAGACTAAATAAATAAGAATTTTCATGACATTGCGATGTCATGCTATTTCATTAGTAGTCTTGTAATTCAGCGATATTAGATGCTGGTAGGTTTGATTTTTGTCTCATCATATAGCTGAGACATTAATGAATTTGAAAACTCAAACGTATTTTTCTGAGATGTATTGTAAAAATAAGAACTTTAGTGAATGATGTGCTAATTGAATAGAAAAAGAACACTCCAGTCAGTTGTTTGATTAAGTGGTATAATTCATAGTTAAACTAGCTTATTTTTTTTTCTTATCTTACATAGAAAAATAGAGTAAAGTGGGACAAACAACTTTTCTCTCAACATCAACACTTCTAAATGTATTGGAGAAGTAAGAGAAGTTTTCGAAGTTATCTTCGGCAGAATTTGATAGAGCAATCCGAATTACACCAACTCACTATATTTAGTGTATGACTCCCATAACTAACAAATAAATGAGTATGATAACAGTAAACTCTAGTCTACTTCCTCTAGAAAAATCTTCAGGGAGTCCCTATCAGAAGTCTCCAAGAAGCCAAACAAACAACGAGAAAATCTCTGGGGAGAATCTCCAGATGATCGTCTGGGAAGTCCTCAGGATTCTACAGGGACTTCCGAACGAGATATCTGTCACAGATTTTCTTGTTGTTCGGTCGATTTGTTCAGGACTGCCAACAGGAATTTTCCAGGAATTTTTATGGGGGAAAGTGCACGAGAGAATATAATTTAGCAAACATATAAAAAGAAGATAAGATAAGACGCACAACTAAAATAATAAATACATAACAATTTATTATTTATGGACAATAACACAATAAATAGAATTATTTCTCTCTTCTAGAACCGATTTGGCGACAAAGCTAAATATAACCTTAAATATTGAATCGTCGACATCAAATGATGCCAGACAACTCAAAATTGCTATTCCATCTCAAATGAATAAGATATCTTCTGATATATCATCACTGAAGACTGGAATTCAGCTAGAACAGTGTTTACCCCCTCAAAAGAGAGGTATCTTTCGTAAAGTTTTAGACTCATGTCGAGCGCTGCTGAAAAAACCAGGAGTACATTCTAATATAGCCATGCTTTCAGCTGGATTTTATTATATAGACAATGGAGATACTGTTAGGTGTGATACATGTGAACTTGAAGTATGCGGATGGACACTGGAAATGAAGCCATTTACTATTCATGCGCAACGCAGTCCGACATGCGCCTTTGTTCGTTCTATTCTTCCCGATCAAATTATATCTGTACCACCGACGATGAATCTACTTTCTATTACTCCAGTATCAACCGATAATGAAAAACCATCTAAACGTCAGAAAACAGACGAAACGCAAGAAATTTATGAACCATGTCGACTTATCGAAATTGACACACTAAAACGAATACGAAAACGTACTTTTTCACATTGGCCCCATCGAACATCACCTTCATCTGCACAAATGATCGAAGCTGGATTCTTCAATTGTAATGTTGGTGATCGGGTCATTTGTTTGTATTGCAATATTATTTTTCAACAATGGACATCACATACAGAGGATCCATGTGAAATACACAAAATACTCTCTCCAAAATGTCCATATGTTATTGCAATGTTAAAACATCAACAAACAGCATCCATTCTAATTATCAATGAATTTTCAAACAATGGTCATGCATTAGTATCGAACAGCACTGATCTATTTCGATGCAATGAAATTGTATACACTGCTGCATGTCATACAAATTATATTGAAATTCCTAGACGTCATGCGTCTTTTGCTACATGGTCAAATGACAATATGCCATCTGTTGATGATCTTGTCAGAGCTGGCTTCTTTTATACTGGCACTAAAACTATTGTGACATGCTTTTATTGTAATGGATCATTGCAAAACTGGGGAGCAAATGATAATCCAATGATTGAACATGCTCGTTGGTTTCCACAATGTGCATATGCTAAACAGTTATGTGGTCCAGATTTGTATCGAAAAATACAAGAATCGAAAAAAATTCAACAGGGTTTGTTCCTATTTTATTCTTCCATATGATGACGACTGATTGTATACTTTTTATGTTTAGAACGAGCTAAGATCAAGGAACCGAACCAACAACTTGAAATAGCTGGAAATAGCACGAATAGAGGATCACTGAACATATCAGATGAGAATACTTTGTCAAGATTTGTTGCTGCTCGACTTGATTTATTTATTTCACAATATTTACTCAATCGAAACTTCAAACTATCCATCGTTAAACGTTGCTTCGAAGATCAACTGCGAATAAAACGTAAATAAAAATCTTTCTATTTAATCGCATAAAAAAAAACAAATCTTGTATTAATTGATATCTTAGACGATGACTTCATTGATGATTGTGATCTTCTAGTAGCATGTATAATTCTTCAAAAACAAATCGAACATATTGATGGAAAAAAAGAAAATATTATAATACCCAGTGTAGCCATGGACAAGATTCGTAAAACAGAACAAGCAGGTAGCTATAACAAAAACTAGTAAACAAAAGATTATTAATTTTGATAATATTGTAGCAATACATGCTCGTGAACAAGCTGCTAATTCATCAACACTGATGGATACTACAACCAACACTGATGTTGAAATGCCAACATCATCGGAATCTATGAGAAGTGAAATACATGCACCAGTATCAACAGTTACTGATCAACAAACGAAAAATCTAGAATCGTCTACTGTAGATCCTGCTTCGCAAAATCAAACAGACGATTCATTATCATCGAATCGTTGCGTTTTATGTTTAACGGAAGAAAAGCGTCTCGCTTGCATTCCTTGTGGTCATCTGACCACTTGCGTCGCTTGTGGACACTCGCTTCGCTTGTGTCCTATATGTCGTCGGGAAATTGAAGCATTTGTTCGCATATACCTTTAGATGGCAGTATTATGGAACGATGCGATAATTTACTAAATTTTTACATGAAACTTCACTTCTTTCATCTTAAATAAAGTGCCGCACTTTTTATTGATTTCTACTGATTCATCGTATTTGAATAACCATAAAAAATTGCGATACATAGAAATAGTCTACTTCCGTGTTTTTTTTGTCATGATAATGATTGCTTCTGTTAAGTAACAGTAAATAGTGTCCATAGAAACATGATCGTTACCTTTCAATGACAACACAGAAAAAAAAAGTTTTCTCACAGCAATCATAATTTTACAAGAAAATACTAAATATACGTAAAATCATGACAATATAAAAGTTTCTCGTTTATATTTTACTATTATAATTTGATTCAATGCAATTGATAAGTAATATACAGAAAAAAAAACATACAATTTTTTAAAATTTTCTTTCGTACACTGTCAAATCTTAGACTTAACAACTGAATATGATATTCAAGTAATGACTGAAATATCATATTTTTTAAAAGAGTAAAAAAAAGGAAGTAATAATATTAGTCAAAGAGGTTGTTTCTGCGTACTTCTAGATAAGCATTTTTCATGTCTTTCCCACAATAGCATTTTGTCATGTGGCGTCGAGCGAATGTATATCATACGTAAAGAGCAGTTATGCATAATCCCACGTTATCACTGTCGTCATCATTTACTTTTTACATATATGCTTCTTCTAAAAGTAAATATATGGAGCAAGAAGAAGAAAAAATAAGTTATTTCGAATGACGTTATTTCGAGGGTATGGGTGTAGGGTGAGTGTCTCGATAGTTGTTCTCTGCTCTCACACATAAAGCCTTCTTTTAACTAGATATTATCACTACAAACTGGAAGAATTTCGAAATATATGAGTAATGGCGAGCTTTGGTTCACTTCAAATAATCAAAATTTGTGTCATTTCTTCAATTTAAGAATTAATTATGTTGTTCAAATAATTTCCAACTTTTGAAGTTCATTTGAGTCATATCAGACCTAGGGTTTTTTCTCGTTCTGCATTAATTACGTCTATCCCATGCCGCCACACGTCTTCTTTTTTATTGGTTCCTTTCGTCAACAATCCTTTCTCCGTCATACCTGTACAACGAAATGGGTTTTTTTTCTTTCTGTTGTTCGCACTTGGAAAATTCCCTATAAAACAACAAGTTATATAACATTGAATTTATACTGCATTGTCGATGGGTTTTTTTAGGAGGATCGAGGACATACTAGAACGAGACAAAAGCATCAGATCTTTATATAAATAACGCAGATTTTTGCGATCATTTAGAATCGATATGCAACAATCTTTTCCTTAGATCTATGACAGAAGAGTTATTCCACTATTTATGAACTTGATGTTAGTGAGTTTACAGTGTTAAGAGAATAAAATTTGTCTTTGGAGAAATACGAGCATCCTATTATATCTGTACAATCATCAAAAGACACATAAGATTCTAGTTTCTATTTTATGCCTCCAGGAATAGTTAATAGGGTCGTTTGAATAATTAAAGTCTTCTCAAAATTTTCAAGAAAAAAAAACATTCATTTATATATTATATCTTCTTTAGATTTTATTCGATAGTTAAAGCAACATATCGACTTTAGTCAACTTTCGTATCGTTATTCAAAGTGATCAGTTTAATAAATACGAAACAATGAATGCTTCATCGAGACAATTCGATAAGAAGAAAGAACATTTACAAACTCTCGCTAGTATTCGTAATCGAATTCAATCACTAGCTAAATCAATAAACAGACCAGGCGTTCATAGTACAAACTATATGTCTGCCGCCGGATTTGAATATACAGGTAATGGAGATACAGCTCGCTGTAAGGACTGTGGACTTGAAGTATCCGATTGGACATTGAATATGAATCCATTTACTATTCATTCGACACGCCAACCTAATTGTTCATTCGTCTGTTCTATGATGCCAATTTCATTATCAAATAAACCTGCTTCTTCCTCTTCATCAACATCTGCTGTTCGAAGTGCATCGGTATCAAATGAACAAGAAAATCCTTCTAAACGTCAAAAAATCGAAACAACAAATTCAGAATCTCTCTCAAATACTTTATTCGAATCAGATTTACTTCAACAAGTGCGAAGACGTACGTTTTCTCATTGGCCACACCGCACTATTCCATCAAGTATACAAATGATTGAAGCTGGATTTTTTCATTGTAATCTTGGTGATCGAGTGATATGTATTTATTGTAATCTTATTTGTCAACAATGGAAATCACATACAGATGATCCATGTGAAATACATAAAACACTTTCACCTAATTGTATATATGTCAAAGCAAAATTAATGCATCCTGTAGTTTCATCTGCATCTATTGTTAATGAAAATTCAACGAGTTCAGTTGAAGACAATTGTTCATCAATATCAAATAATCTTGATCCATTACAATCTAATGATATTATACTTACAGCTTCATGTAATCCAGCTTATTCAGAAATATCAAAACGTCTTGCATCATTTGCAACATGGCCAAATGAAGATTTACCATCAGTAGATGGTTTAGTTCGAGCAGGATTTTTCTATACAGGTACAAAAACTATTGTTACTTGTTTTTATTGTAATGGATCATTACACAGCTGGGGTCCAAATGATAATCCAATAATTGAACATGCACGTTGGTTTCCATATTGTGCATATGCTCGACAATTATGTGGTGATGATTTATATCGAAAAATTCAAGAATCTAAACGAGCACAACAAGGTATATTTTAATAATTTTAAGATAAAACTTAATTTCTTTTTCTAGAACGTGCTAGAGCTAATGAGTTCAGAGAAAGAATAGGTTCTAATGATTTGTTAAATACTAATCTAACTACAAATAGTCAACAATTATTAATACCTGATGATTGCACTTTATCAAGACTTGTTGCTGCTCGATTAGATTTACCGATGTCACGACATTTATTAGATCAAAATTTTAAATTATCAATTATTAAACGATGTTGGGAAAATCAATTACAAATAAAAGGTAAATTATTAAATAAGATATTTTCTTTTGTATCTTTTCAATATTTTTTTAGGCGATGATTTTGTATCTGAATGTGATTTGCAAGTAGCTTGTTTAATTCTTCAAAAACAAGTTGAACATATTAATGGTAAAAAAGAAAATATTGTTATACCAAGTATAAAAATGAAGCAAATCAGACAAAAAGCAGAAAGAATCCGTAAGTGTTTTACTAATTATACATAATATTGGATGATGCCTATATCCACTTGACTAAAACAAATGTCACTTAGTCTATTTTTCAATTTTTCAGTTGTAAACAGCTAGAATTTGTTGACAAAACTGCAAACTTATTTCACATACTAATATATGATTGAAATCAAAATCTGTTGTCGTAACTGTATCTCTATACTTATTAGTTTCATTTACATCTTGGATAGTAGCTTAGTGCTTTTTTTAGAAATAGATTGCCGATAAAACATTTCCCTCATAGTCATTGTATCGTACATTAAATTGTCGAGTAAGTTACATCACATTGTTTACATGTCTGTCTTCTTGCAGTTTTCGTTGCTAACAATAATCATCTTAGAATTCTTACAGTAACTCTCATTTGATGATTTTCGTTTACTCTAAATGACACTTAGATGTTATTGCTGAACGAACTAACTTTGTAGTTCATTATGCGATATGCATACTCAAGTAGAAATATTTAATCTGCAACCTATTTCGAAAAGGCACTAAACTAGTATTTAAGATGGAAATAAAACTAATAAGTGTAGCGACACAGCAATGACAACAAATTTCGATTTCAATCATATAGAGATATATGAAATAAATTTGCAGTTTTCTCAATAAGTACTTGCTGTTTGAAACTAAATATCATAGAATAAACTGCATGATAAAAGGTATATTTATAGTATAAATGTGAGATCCAACTATGATAGTATAAAGAATAAATAGAGTAAGTTAGCTGTGTCGTTTATTTTGGTCGATGAAGGATATGTTACATATCTGACAAATATATATGAATTGATTTTTTTTTGAATAGGTCATGCAGTTGATTTTACAGAAGAGATTGGAAAAACAATCGAACGTGAACATTCATTTATTCGTTGGCCAAATAGGCTACCATCCCAATTTCAAATGATAAATGGTGGCTGGTGCTTGAATACGACAAAAGGAACAGACTACACAATATGTTTATATTGTGGTGTAGAACATAATAATTGGAATCATGCTGATAATCCTTGGAATGTCCATCAAGAGTTGTCACCAGATTGTCCTTTTCTTCTTTCATCACATTCAATGCATTCAAGTTCAGTACCCACCAAAGATTTACGTGAAATTTTTATACAAGAAAAAATAGATTCTGATGTGACTCAACCCAATTCAACACTTATTTTCCCATCTAAGTCGTATTATAGGCTTCCAACACGTCGATATGCATCGTTTTCTACTTTTCCTGGTGGACTTCCAACAAATATTGAAGCATTAGTCAGATCTGGTTTTTACTATTGCGGAAATGGAACAAGACTTCAATGCTATCATTGCGAAATTGGGGTCACAAATTTTCATCATTATTCATCGAATGAAATCAATGTTCAACATCTTCGTCGAGTTCCTGATTGTCGTTATGTACAATTGTTACCTGAAGAAAACATAACACGATCTGCAAGTAATTTTCATCTATATAATTATTGAAAGATAATTTACTATAATTTACAATTTCTTCTTTATTTTTTATTCAGATAATGATAATACTTGTGAATGGTGTTTCGTAAATTCCAAAGAAATTGTAGCCTCTCCTTGTTTGCATTTGGCTTTGTGTAGTTCATGCAGTCAATTAGTAAATACATGTCCTATGTGTGACAATCAGCCACAATTTTTTTTTAAAGTGTTCACATGAAAAATGCGAAATGCAAAAATGCATTGCTTTATGATAATTTATCTGGCTGATACTTCTAATCTTTTTATGTATCAAAAAAAGCTTTTGTTGTCAAATATATATTTTTTTAACTTTATTTT